GCACTTTGGGAGCCCAACATAAGTGGATCATCTGGAGGTCAGGAGTTCAAGACCAGCCTGGCAATATGGTGAAACTTCGTCTCTACTAAAAATACAAAATTAGCTGGCATGGTGTCGGGCCGCCTGTAGTCCCAGCTACTATGGAGGCTGAGGCAGGAGAATGCTTGAACCTAGGAGGTGGACGATTGAAGTGCAGCTGAGTTTGCCACTGGCACTCCAGTCGGTGACAGATCGAGACTCCACCTCAAAAAAGAAAAGAAAACAAAGGAAAGGGGACAGCAATAATATGTCAGTTTCATTTGGGGTGTCTGGAAGGATCCAGAAGGTTAGAGTGCTTAGCATGGGTTGTAAGGAACAAGGATGAGAAAGTTAATGGCACAGATCCGAGGCCAGACTGCGCAGGTCTGCCCTGAATTTACCTTCACAGCTGCCTGGCCTTGGGTGAGCTTTAACCTCTCTGTGCCTCAGTTTCCTCCATTTGTAAAATAACGATAATAAAAATTTACCTCTTAGGCATGTTATAAGGCAGAAGTTCTCAACGTTTTTGGCCTCAGAAACTCTTTACACTAAAACAATATTGGGGGCCGGCACGGTGGCTCAAGCCTGGTTAATCCCAGCACTTTGGGAGGCCGAGACGGGGCGGATCACGGATCGGAGGATCGAGACCATCCTGGCTACACGGTGAAACCCCGTCTGTTACTAAAAAAATACAAAAAACTAGCTGGGCGAGTGGCGGCGCCTGTAGTCCAGCTACTCAGGGACGGCTGTGAGCAGGAGAATGGCGTGAACCCAGAGGACGGAGTTGCAGTGAGCTGAGATCGCCACTGCACTCCAGCCTGGGCGACAGAGCGAGACACCGTCTCAAAAAAAAAAAAAAATAAATAAATAAATAAAACAATACTGAAGACTTTTTTTTTTTTGTTTTGAGACAGCGTTCTCACTCTGCTGCCCAGGCTGGAGTGAAGTGGTTGCACTCTTGGCTCACTGCAACCTCCGCCTCCTGAGTTCAAAGGGGAGATTATCGTGCCTCAGCCTCCTAGGTGCTGGGATTACAGGCACGCGCCACACACCAGTTAACTTTTAGTATTTGTTAGTAGAGACAGGGTTTCACCATGTACACCATGTGCACCTGTAATCCCAGCTGCTTGGGGGGCTGAGGCAGGGGAAATGCTTGACCAGGGAGATGTAGGTTGCAGTGAGCCGAGACGCACCACTGCACTCGTAGCCTGGCGACACAGCGAGACTCCTGTCTCAAAAAAAAAAAAAAAAGGTAGTAAACACATTAGCATGTAACTAAATTTTTTAACTTTTTATTTTTTGAGAGCAGTCTACCTACATGCCCAGGGCTAGACTTGAACTCTTGAACTCAGGGAATCCGTTCCCACTGGAGTAGCTGGAACTACACGCACACTAAAGTGCTAGGTAACATGGGTTTTTTTTGTGTTTTTGTGAGACAGGGTTTTCCTGTGTCACTCAGGCTGGAGTGCGTGGCACAATCACAGCTCACTGCAACTTCTGCCCACTGGACTCAAGTCATCCTTCCACCTCAGCCTCCTGAGTGCTGGGACTACAGGCACATGCCCACCACAGTCAGGTAATTTTTTTTTTTTTTTGGAAACGGAGTCTCGCTTTGTCACCCAGGCTGGAGTGCAGTGGCACGATCTCAGCTCACTGAACCTCTGTCCCGGGTCAAGTGATCCTCCTGCCTCAGCCTCCTGCATAGCTGGGATACGGCGCCTGCCACCGTGCCTGGCTAATTTTTTTTTTTTTTGTTTTTTTGTATTTTTGTAGAGATGAGGTGTTCACCATATTGGCCAGCTGATCTTGAACTCCTAACCTCAAGCGATCCGCCCCTCCTTGGCCTCCCAAAGTGCTGGGGATTACAGGCATAAATCACTGCAACTGGCTTTTTTTTTTTTTTTGTTTTTTTTTTTAAATAGAGACGGGTTTTGCCATGCTGCCCAGGCTGGACTTGAAATCCTGGGCTCAAGTGATCCTCCAGCTCTGCCTCCCAAAGTGCTAGGATTATAAGCATGAGCCACTGTGGCCAGGCCTATATATTTTTTATTTATTTTTATTTTTCTGAGACAGAGTTTTACTCTGTCGCCCAGTTTGGAGCATAGTGGTGTGATCTCAAACTCACTGCAACCTCTGCCTCCCGGGCTCAAGGGATCTTCCCACCTCAGCCTCCGCGAATACCGGGACTACAGGCTCTCACCAGCACATCTGATCGAATTTTTTATTTTACTTTTTTTTTTTTTTTTTGAGACGGAGTTTCACTCTGGTTGCCTAAGCTGGATGGGGTGCAGTGGCACTATCTCAGCTCACTGCAACCTCTGCCTCCCAGGCTCTAATGATTCTCGTGCTTCAGGACTCTTGAGTAGCTGAGTTATCAGGCACATGCCACCATGTCTAGTTAATTTTTGGTGTTTTTAGTAGAGGCGGGGTTTTGGCATGTTGGCCAGGCTGGTCTCAAACTCCTGAGCTCAAGAAATTTTCCCACCTTGGCCTCCCAAGCGCTAGGATTAAAGGCGTGAGCCACTGCGCCTGGGCCTTAATTTTTTGTATCTTTTTATTACTTATTTGTATTTTATTATATTATCATTACTATTATTATTTTGAGATGGAGTCTCACTCTGTCGCCCAGTCTGGAGTGCAGTGGCGCGATTTCGGCTCGCTGCAACCTCTGCCTTCCGGGTTTAAGCAATTCTCTGCCTCAGCCTCCCGAGTTGCTGGGATTACAGGCATGCACCATCACACCCGGCTAATTTTTGTCTTTTTAGTAGAGACAGGGTTTCACCATCTTGGCCAGGTTGGTCTTGAACTCCTGACCTCGTCTGCCTCAGCCTTCCAAAGTGCTGGGATTACAGGCGTGAGCTACTGCACCCGGCCAATTTTTCAATTTTTAATTTTTTTTAATAGGGACAGGGGAGGGGGGTGTTCTCACTATATTGCCCAGGCTGGTCTCGAACTCCTGAGCTCAAGAAATCCTCCCATCTCGGCCTCCCAAAGTACTAGGATCACAGGCATGAGCCATTGCACCCAGCCCATATGTACTTTTTAAAATAAGAATAATGCTATGCTCCAAAATAAATTTGAAGCAATCTTGTCAGCGATGGTATTGGTTTATGCGTTTGCAAGTCTCTAGCGTCTTGCTCATTAGAAAGGAGCTGGTGCCTCAACACCGCTTCTGCACTGTCCGCTGCACTCCGCCGTTTCGTGTTGAGAATATGAGGAACACCCAGCCTGACAATGACTTGCAGCTGGAGAAAGGGAGAACCTCCCAGAGACCCTTTGGGTACTGGGGATCCCCGCCGTCCTTAGGCCACTCTTTAGGAAGCCATGTAGTCAGGATTAAATGAGGTAATATTAGTAAAGCACTTAGAATAATGCTTGGCACATAGTAAACACTGCATATTTTTTAACTACACGTAAAGCAAATACTCAATATATTTTAAACTTTTAGAATTTGGGGCCAGGCACGGTGGCTCACGCCTGTAATCCCAACACTTTGGGGAGGTCGAGGCAGGAGGATCGCTCGAGTCTAGGGGTTTAAGGCCAGCCTCGGCAACATAGTGAGACCCTTGTCTCTATGAAAAAATTAATAAAAAAACCTTTTTTTTTTTTTGAGGTGAAGTTTTGCTCTTGTTGCCCAGGCTGGAGTGCAGTGGTGCAATCTCGGCTCACTGCAACCCTCGCCTCCCGGGTTCAAGCGATTCTCCTGCCTCAGCCTCCTGAGTAGCTGGGATTACAGGCATGTGCCACCAAGCCCGGCTAATTTTGTATTTTTAGTAGAGACAGCGTTTCTTCATGTTGGTCAGGCTGGTCTTGAACTCCCGACCTCAGGTGATCTGCCCGCCTCGGCCTCCCAAAGTGCTGGGATTACAGGCGTGAGCCACCGCGCCCGGCCAACTTTTAGATTTTTAATCAATACGTGCCAGGTTGGGGTGCACTTTATGGCTACAAGGGCATTAAGATTTCCTCCCTCAAGGAGCTAACAGTCAGACGGTGGAAACCTATCTGCTACCACAGTGTGAAAACTCAGGATGCTAAGAGCAATTCTGGTGGGGCAAGCAGGGGACTGTGAGTTTGCAAGGGGGTCCTTACCTCCTGCGTGGGGGGCGGATGGGGTTCTGGGTTCAGGAAAGGTTCTCCCGGGAGTGGGAGGGGGTCTGATGGACAAGTGGATTTGGACAGCCCAAATGGACAGGGGGCCAAATGGACAGGGGACAAGAGAAAACTCGTGGTGCTGGGATGCCAAGCGGGCTTCGCCCTACTGTGAAGTGGCGTTTATGTCACACGGAGCCAGTGATGGATGTGGCTCGGGGAGGAGCGCCCTGGGGCTCCGGGCGCCTCTGCAGGGGGCCGGGTCTGCGGGGAGGGTCTGCGGGCCGGGGCGTCCCCATTTTCTTTCCGGGATGAGCCCCAGCCCGGGGACCTCCTCGTGACCCCTCCATCCCTCTCCAAGGCCAGGGCGGCTCCCCAGAGCAGCGAATCGTCCCGCGAGACCAGCGCCCCCGGCCCCCTCTCCCGGGGCGGCCTGGACCCTTCCCGGCGGCCGGGTGGTGGGAGGAGCCAGCGCCGGGCGGGGAAGGGGCGGCCGGACCACGGGCGAGGGGCGCTGCGGCTCTGGCGGCTGGAGACGGGGCCCGGTGTGCAGGCCGCGCAGTCAGCGCTGGGGGGGACTCCGGGGCGCCCCCGGGAGGCGGAAAGTGGGCGCGCCCCTGGCCAGGCCGGGATCGGGGCGGGGCGCGCGGCCTCCCTGCGGGGGAGCGGTCACCCAGCCTCTCCGCCGCCGCCACCAAAGTTTCCCGGAGGAGTCGCGGGCCGCCCTTCCTCTCGGGCCCGGCGCGCTGCCGCCCCTCAGGCCAGCACCGCCCCGGGGCGCCCGGCCCGGCTCCATTGAGCGCAACTCTGATCTCAACTTGGGAGGCGCCGCGGGCCTGCGCACGCGCGCGCCCTCCCCGCCGCCACCGCCGCCGCCGCCCCGCCCACTCGGGAGCAGCACGGGCCGAGCCGTGCGCCCAGACGCGGCCGGCGCACGCCCTGCCGCCGCCCGTGCCCTGCGCCGCCGTCCGCGCTCACCCGCTGCCCGCTGCGCCCTCGCCCCCGCGCCCGCTGAGCGCGCCCGCCCGCGGCCCAGGCTGGGCCCGGCCGGCCCGGCCCTCTACCGCGGCAAGTTTGGGAGTTGCACGAGTTTGCGGGGCGGGGGACAGGCCGGGAGGGCGGCCATGGAGGAGGAGCGGGGGTCGGCGCTGGCGGCCGAGTCGGCGCTGGAGAAGAACGTGGCCGAGCTGACCGTCATGGACGTGTACGACATCGCGTCGCTTGTGGGCCACGAGTTCGAGCGGGTCATCGACCAGCACGGCTGCGAGGCCATCGCGCGCCTCATGCCCAAGGTCGTGCGCGTCCTGGAGATCCTGGAGGTGCTGGTCAGCCGCCACCACGTCGCGCCCGAGCTGGACGAGCTGCGCCTGGAGCTGGACCGCCTGCGCCTAGAGAGGATGGACCGCATCGAGAAGGAGCGCAAGCACCAGAAGGTGGGCGGCGGCCTTGGTCTGTCCGTCTGGGCAGTGGGACCGCGGGGACCCAAGGGCTCTTCCGGATTGGGCAGCTGTGGGTGCACACGTGTGTGTGTTCGGGGACCGGACCAGAGGAGACCCTACGTGGGGAGGGAGGGAGGCCCTGACCTTCCTTTGCCCGACCAGGGATGGCTGGCAGATACCACCCGAGAGATTAAGAGCTGTTCTCTGGAGTTCCAATCCCACCTTTACACACAGTTTAATAGCTGTGTGACTTTGGGTAAGTTACTTAACCTCTCTGTGCTTTATTTCCTCACCTGTCAAATGGTGATCATAATAGGACCCACCTTAGAAGAATTAAATGGGGCCATATAAGCTAAGTGCTTAGACAGTATTATTCTTTTCCAGACATGAAATAAGCCTCTTGCCCTCCCGTGTTTCCCAAGAAGATGTGACATCAGGCCCAGGACCCTTTCTTCATCCCCCACCCCCAGTCTCCCCAGAGCAAAGGGAGTGTGACCTCCAGCCACTGAGCTTTCTGACCCCCAGTCTCCAGGTTCATATTTACAACTTTCTTCCCGGGACGGACTCTCCTAGCTTATGAACCTGTGGCAACCAGTGTTCTCTCCTCTTTGATTTTATCCTTAATCCTCACAGGACTCTATAAAGATTATCTTCATTTTACAGATGAAGAAACCAAGGGTCACAATGGGAGGAGGGATTTGTCCCGAATTAGTGATGAGAGAGTCCCAGTCCCGTGTCTCCTCCCCACCCCGTTTGAATTGGGGGAAAGGGATGATTTGGGGTGGCTTTTAGGCTAAGCCTCTGCCCTGTGATCAGGAGTCTCTCTGAATCAGGGCCTCCCCACTGGGCCTGGAGTCCAGACGAGGTTCCTGGAGAAAAGGAAGTGAAAGACATGTGGTTTCCTGCCCTAACCTCAGCCAGGGATGCTCTTGGCAGCCCCTTCAGACTGAGAATGGGAGGAAACACCTTTCCTTGAGGGATCAGGGTGTCTGAGCAGTCTCCAGCTTGCTGTTCAGCCTCCGGAAATACAATTGGCGTCTCTGAACCTCAGGGGCAGGCCATCCCCTGTTGTATACTTGGATGGATCTCTGTGTTTTGGAGGAAAATAGCCAAAGCTGGATCTGAACCCTTAACCTCAGGGCAGACCCACAGGTAGTTGGCAGCTCTACTGCCATGTTTGACTATGCTCGTCCTCATGCGTCCCTATGCCCTAGGGGCAGGAAGGAAACTCAGGCTCCCAAGAGTCGAGCAGCATTTCCAGGGTATCTGGGAGCCTGAAAATGCTTTGACCTGTAATTAATTTCAAGACTCCTAGAAGCTGGGACTTTGGAGCTAGACAGCCTGGTTTCAAACCCCACCACGTGCAGGCTGTGCGATCTTGGGCAAATCCCCCAGCATCTCTGTGCTTCAGTTTCCTCAGTTCTAAAATGGGATAGTAATAGTACCCCGCAGTAGAACGTGATGAGGCTTAAAGGAGTTAATATAAATACATATAAAGTGTTCAGGACAGAACCTACCCATAGCAAGGGCTTTACAAGTGTTAAAATTCTTTTTGGGCCTGGAGAGACATTCATTGAGGTGCTCACAGGCTCACATTAGGAAACCGTCCCCACCCCAAGCACCTCTACTCCTACCCTAGAGGCTTCCATCTCTCATAGAGGGTCAAGGAGGCAAGGGACCTTGGAAATCCTCTCGTGTGGCACCTCTTATTAACAGGGACCAAGGGGCTTTGACCAGATCACACAGAAGTCCTGGCATCTATACTGTCCCCAAACTGGGGCTGTTTAGTTCCATGGCAGAGGGGCTGAGAGAAATCCTTGGAAGCCATCGGAGGCCACCAGGTCTGAAGTCACATGGAATTCTCAGCAGCTGCACTTGTTGCCTCTGGAACACGTTCAGCTGGGAAGTGAACACCGTGCGCTCAGGGCCAGGGCTTGTTGACTTACATTGAGGATGACCTCTCTAAATCAAGGATGCAATTCCTTTCCTACCCCAGCCCCAGACCCCTTGACTTCACATTCTTGGGATAGAGAGAGACTTGTATGATTTTTTCTTTTTTTTCCCTGAAGTCTCAAAGGCTCTTCAAGATGATATTTCCACAAAAATCTTTTTGGCATATCCTGGTTTAGTCTGTCCGCCTCCATTCCTCTTCCCTTTCCCCTTCTTCTTCCCCTCCCCCCTCTTCCTTTCCGCTCTCTCTTTCAGCAATTATGGCTCCAGTAAAGCACATACACTTTCTTCCCCCCACTCCTCCTCCCAGTAGACCCACTCACTCACTTCCACTCATCACTCAGATGCAGGCCACAGTTGGATCATGTTCTGTCTCATTACTCAGTCTGCAAACCTGTTGACAGGCCATAGTGAACACAGTGCCCTTCTCGGTGCCATGGCTCTGCAGAGAAAAGCAAATTCTCATGTCAGGCAGCAGGCGGGTCACAGGGAAGAAAGGGAAAACACAAATAAATTCTAGAAAGCAATGGCTGGGCTGATACACTTGCATGTAACATACCAGACTGTGCTATTCATTCACCCATTCAGCAAATATATTTACTGAGAACCTACTGTGTGCCAGACGTTGTTCTGGACACTGGGGAGACAGTAATGACCATGACAGATGAGGCCTTGGCCCTGATGAGCCTGACTTTTTAGTGCAGTGCTATACTATAGAAATATTATGCAGCTTTGCCATGTTAATAAAAAACCAGTGAGGTTGGCTGGGCGCGGTGGCTCACACCTGTAATCCCAGCACTTTGGGAGGCCAAGGCGGGTGGATCACTTGAGGTCAGGAATTGAAGACCAGCTTGGCCAATATGGCGAACCCCCATTTCTACTAAAAATACATGATGGTGGGTGCCTGTAATCCTAGCTATTCAGGCATGATGGTGGGTGCCTGTAATCCCAGCTATTCAGGAGACTGAGGCAGAAGAATCGCTTGAACCCAGGAGGCAGAGATTGCAGTGAGCCGAGATCGCACCACTGCACTCCAGCCTGGGTGACAGAGTGAGACTCTGTCTCAAAAACAACAAAATAACAAACCAGTGAGGTTAATCTTAATATATCTTATGGGACCCAGTATATCCAAAATATTTTCGTTTCAACATATAATCAATATAAAAACTTATCATTTGATATTCTGCACTCTTTTTATCCTACTACATCTTTGAAATCTGGTGTGTCTTTAACCCCTGCTGCACATTTCCACTCAGACCAGCCACATGTCAAATGCTCAACAGCCATAGCATGAGGGGGAGACGGAGATTTTTTTCTCTTTTTTTTTTTTGAGTCAGGGACTTACTCTGTCATCCAGGCTAGAGAGCAATGATGGCATCATGGCTCACTGCAGCCTTGAACACCTGGGTTCAAGTGATCCTCCTGCCTCAGCCTCCTGAGCAGCTAAGACTACAGGCACACTGTAATTTTTTTTTTCCTTTAGAGACAAGGTCTCACTATGTTGCCCAGGCTAGTCTTGAACTCTTGGGCTCAAGCAGTCGTCCTGTCTTGTTCTCCCAAAGTGCTGGGACTACGGGTGTGAGCCACTGTGCCTAGCCAAGATAGATTAAAAAAACAAAAAAAAAATTCAGGCTGGGCGCGGTGGTTCACACCTGTAATTCCAGCACTTTGGGAGGCCAAGGCAGCTGGATCACTTGAGGTCGGGAGTTTGAGACCATCCTGGCCAATATGGCGAAACCTCATCTCTACTAAAAATACAAAAGTTAGCTGGGTATGGTGGCGTGTGCCTGTAATCCCAGCTACTAAGGAGGCTGAGGCAGGAGAATCGCTTGAACCTGGGAGGTGAAGGTTGCATTGAGCCGAGATCATGTTACTGCACTCTAGCCTGAGCAACAGAGCGAGACTTTGTCTAGGAAAAAAAATCAGCCTGTGATAAGTGCCATAAAGAAAATAAAACTGGGAGACATGAAAGAGACTCACTAGGGTGGTGGTCTAACAGATGGGGTAGTCAGGAAGGCTTCCCTGAGGAGGTGACATCTGAGCTGAGATCTGAATGAAGGATAGGATCCAGCCACAGATTGATCTGGGGGAGAGGCATTCTAGGCAGAAGACGTGAGAAGTGCAAAGGTCCTGAGGTAGGAATGCACTTAATGTGTTCAAGGAACACAAAGTCAGTGTGGCTGGAGCAGAGCGAGTAAGGAAGAGAACTGGGAGATGAATCAGGAAGGTGCTGGGGCTCGTAGGCTCGGATGAGGAATTTGAGGACTCGGTGCTGAGGGAGGAACGTGAAGGAGATAACTGATCAGGGCTGACTTCTCGGGAGAGCCACTGAGCTGGTATGGAGGCAGCCTGAGATTCTGAGTGGTCACCTCAGAGGCAAGAATCAGCAACCCCAGCATCAACTTCAGTTCGTTGAGAGAAGCAAAAAAGAGAACTGAGTGTTAAAGTCTGTGTTCATCCCCTGTGGCTGCTATAACAAATGAACACAAACTTAGTGGCTCAAAACAGCAGAAATGTGTTATCTTTTCTTTTTTTTTTTTTTCTGAGACAGCATCTCACTCTCTTGCCCAGGGTGGAGTGCCGTGCCGTGACCATGGCTCACTGCAGCCTCAGCCCCACGGGCTCAAGTGATCCTCCCGCCTCAGCTTCCCAAGTAGCTGTACTGCAGGTGTGTGCCACCACACCCGGCTAATTTTTTTAATTTTCAGCAGAGATGGGGTCTTGCCATGTTGCCCCGGCTGGCCGCAGATTCCTAGGCTCAAGTAATTCTCCTGCCTCAGCCTCCCAAAGTACTAGGATTACAGGCGTGACCCACCACGCCTGGCCAGAAACGTACTGTCTCATTGAACTGGATAATTCAATATTATGGATACAATGTCATACAGTATTATGGAGGCATATGGGTAATAGCAATATGAATAATACTGAAAAATTTCTGGACGTCAGAAGTCAGAAATGGCTCTCACTAATTCAAATCAAGGTGTTGGGAAGGCTCCACTCCTTTGTGGGGCTGTGAAGGAGGATCCGTTTCTTTGCCTTCCCCAACTTATGGACTCTGCATTCCCTGGCTTGTGGCCCCTTCCTCTATCTTCAAAGCCAGCAGTGTAGCTTCTTCCCATCTCCCTCATATTTCTCTAATGCTGACCTGCCCTCCTCTTAAGAAGACCCTGACGTGACATCGGCCCACCAGACCACCAGATAATCCAGCCAGATAATCCAGAATCATCTCCCCATCTCACGAGCCTTTTTTTTTTTTTTTTTTTTTTTTGTGAGACACAGTTTCACTCTGTCGCCCAGGCTGGAGTGCAGTGGCACAATCTTGGCTCACTGCAACCTCCACCTCCCAGGTTCAAGTGATTCTCATGCTTCAGCCTCCTGAGTAGCTGGAATCTCAGGCGCATGCCACCACACCCAGCTAATTTTTGAATTTTTAGTGGATGGAGTTTCGCCGTGTTGGCCAGGCTGGTCTCGAACTCCTGACCTCAAGTGATCTTCCTGCCTTGGCCTCCCAAATTGCTGGGATTTTAGGCATGAGCCATCATGCCCAGCCTTGAGAGCCTTTTCTAAAAAAAAAAAAAGGTGGGATCTTGCTGTGTTGCCCAGGCTGGAGTGCTGTGGTACAGTCACAGCTCACGGCAGCCTCAACCTCCTGGGCTCAAGTGATCCTTCCACCTCAGCCTCCCAAGTAGCTGGTACTACAGGCGTGCACTACCATGCCCAGCTAATTTTTGTATTTTTTGTAGAGACGGGGCTTTGCCATGTTGCCCAGGCTGTTCTCAAACCCTTGCCTAAATCAGTGCTCCCACCTCAGCCTCCTAAATTACAGGGATTATAGGTATGAGCCACCGTGCCATGTCTGAGATCCTTAACTTAATCAGCTCTGCATAGTCCCTTTTGCCACATAAGTTAACATATTCTCAGGGATTAGGACTTGGATGACTTTAGAGCCGTTATTCTGCCTGCCCCAGCCAGTTACACCTGACTAATATTCTCTGAGCCCTGTGTGAGCCTGGCCTGTGCCAGTTGGGAACAGAGAGGAACACAGCTGGATGAGCCTCTTTCTGCTTCCAGGCCATACCTGCTTGTGGGAGGTCAACATGCCCTCTCCATCCCTTCACCACCACTTCCACCCCGGCCCTGCCCTTCCCCTCCCCTGGTGACCTTGTGCCCTCTGTGCAAATACTAGGCTCTTACTCCTCTCTTCCCCAGTGCGGCAGGCTTGTGACAAAGGAGGTGGGTCTGAGAACTTATTTAGAAGATGGACAGAGGCCATGCCTAGCATCCGGCCACCTGGCCACTTGTGATGGATTGTAGGGATGGGACAGAGATCAGCATACACATTGTTAGTGCTTTCTGGGTGCCAGGCATGTTCCAGGCACTTTACTTATAGTAACCATTTAATCCTCACACCCACCCTTCCCGGCAGATACTACACTAGTTTCCCTATTTCTGGGGCACTTGAATAACTCGCCAAGGTCAGCTAGTAAGCAGCAGAAACAGGATTCAAACTTGGGTCAGCAGGCTCCAGTGTCCATGTCTTGAACCACTATTTTATTTTATTTTTTATTTTATTATTTTATTTATATTTTATTTTTTGACATGGAGTCTCACTGTGTGCCCTAGGCTAGAGTGCAGTGGCTTGATCTCAGCTTACTGCAGCCTCTGCCTCCCAGGTTCAAGCAGTTCTCCTGGCTCAGCTTCCCGAGTAGCTGGGATTACAGGTGCCCACCACCACGCCCAGCTAATATTTGTATTTTTAGTAGAGACGGGGTTTTGCCATGTTGGCCAGGCTGGTCCTGGACTCCTGACCTCAAGTGATCCACCTGTCTTGGCCTCCCAAAGTGCTGGGGTTCCAGGTGTGAGCCACCGCGCCCAGCCACTATCAATTTTAGAACATTTTCATCACCCCCCAAAAGAAAATCCATACCCATTCACAGTCATTCCTCGTCTCCCCTCTAGCACTCTGGCTCTAGACAACCTCCAGTCTGCTTCCTATGTCTATGGATTTGCCGATATTAGACATTTTCTAAAACTGATCATATAACATGTGACCTTTTGTGTCTGGCTTCTTTCCATAATGTTTTCAGGGTCCACCTATGTTGCAGCATATGTCAGACTTTCATTCCTTTTCATGGCCAAATAATGTTCCATTGTTTGGATGTGCCACGTTTATTTACCCATTCATCAGTTGATGGACACTGGGGTTTCTGCCTTTTGGCTACTAGCAGTAATGCTGTGAGGAACATTCACCTGCATACGTTTTCATGTGGACATTGTGTTCATACCTCTTGAGCTGATCCAAGGACTGGAATCTCTGGGTCCTACGATAACTCTGTGTTAATATTTTGCAAAACTGCCAGAGTGTTTTCCAAAACGTCCGCACCGTTTTCCATTCCCATCAGCAGTGTAGGAGGGTTCCAGTTTCTTCCTGTCCTTGTCAGCACTTGTTATTGGCTATTTCTTTGACTACAAGCCACCCACAAAATAACTTTAATAGACCGATTTTATTTATCCTCACATTCACTTTGTGAGCCTTTGTTCTGGTTCCCCCACTGAGGGAAACTGAGGCTCAGGGTGGTCACGTCAGTGGTTGAAGACCCCATGGAGAGACACCTGGATCAGACACCTAAGGAACGCTGGGGCCAGGGCCCCTGCCTGCCTCGGCATCCCCAGGATTCTCAAGGCCTCTGGCTGTCTTGGAGAGAGATTTGTCCCAACTGTCCAGAGACCGGGGGTGTGCCCCCCAGAGGTTGGGAATGTTAGAACCTTCGTATCCTGGGGCAGCTCTGTCTGCTCTGAAGAGAGCTCCAAGATGCGGCACCAGCTTTGTGGTTATTCTTGGGGCAGTTCTCACTGGACCTGGTCCTAACAGCATAAACACAGGCATCCGCCCCAAAGAAGGGTGCCTTCTGTTTCTTGCAAAGGTGCCATATGGGGCTCGTGGTGGCCTTGCTGGCCCAGCTGCCTGATGCCCACTTCTGAAGTCCCAGCAACCCTAGCTGCCCCTGAGGGTTGGGGTGGGTGGGTCCGCCGCCCTGGGCGGGCAGTGACCCACACTGTCCCCTCGCCATGGCAGGAGCTGGAGCTGGTGGAGGATGTGTGGCGAGGGGAGGCGCAGGACCTCCTCTCCCAGATCGCCCAGCTGCAGGAGGAGAACAAGCAGCTCATGACCAACCTCTCCCACAAGGATGTCAACTTCTCAGAGGAGGAGTTCCAGAAGCATGAAGGTAAGCGGGGGCCGGCGCCAATGCAAGGGGGCCGGCCGTTCCTTTTCTCATCGCCCACATCAGCGATGGTCGCCACCGCCCCTGGACGTTGGTGCGGTGCTGGCTGATTCCAAAGCCCTTTGCCTTCTGTGTCATGTTGATTCACACCGTAACCCTTCCAGAGAGACATACTGTAGCCTCAGTCTACAGATGGTAACACAGAGGTCCTTTCAGCAAACTGTCACAGGTTCCCCTCTGTTTGTCAGGCTCCTCTCTTGGCCCTGGGATACGTGTTGAATGTGACAGCGACCCTGCCCTTGGGAAGCTTGTGTGCTGTGCAGAGAAGAAAGGGGCTTAACGTGTAAACACACAGATGCCATAGGTCCAGGGGGTGGCCGTGCTCTGGGAAAGCTGCAGTGGGGCATGTGATAGAGTGACTTGGTAGGGACATCTTTGGATACAGCCGTCAGGGAAGGCCTCCGAGGAGGTCCCATTTGAACCCTCATGAAGTAACAGAGTGAACCACATAAATATCTGCGTGTGTTGGGTCGGGGTTGCAGGGGCAGTCGTGCAAAGGCCCTGGGACATGAGCATTTGAGGGAAACCAAGAAGGCTAGTGTAGGCCAGGCGTGGTGGCTCACACCTGTGATCCCAGCACTTTGGGAGGCTGAAGCAGGAAGATCACTTGGGGCCAGGAGTTCGAGACCAGCCTGGGCAACATAGACCCTATCTCTACTAAAAATTTTTTTTAAAAATTAGCCAGGTGCAGTGGTGCACACTTGTAGTCTGAGCTACTTGAAGGCTGAAACGGGAGGATCACTTGAGCCCAGGAGGTTGAGGCCACAGTGAGCTGAGATTATACCATTGCACTCCAGCCTGAGCGACAGTAAGATGAAAAAAAGAAGGCTAGGGTATCAGAAGATGATTGAGGGCTCGGGAGGTTGGAGATGAGGTCACAGGGGTCAGATCATATAGCTCCTTAGAGGCTAAAGTTTGGATTTTATTCTAAGTGTGCTGGGAGGAGATTAGAGGCTCTTATCACAGACACACACTTACCAGTGAGCAGCCCGGGATGGCATCCCAGACCTGAATGGCGCTGGATCCCCCGAACTGTCACTCATCCAATAAGCACTTGTCTAGAACCTTCATACAGGGCCTCTTCTGGTGCTGGGAAAAGGACAGACGGGCCGCAAGATTCGGGCCAGGCGGGGCTGTGGGCAGTACCTGCTCTGCTCAGCCCTGCAGCTTCCTGCCCACTAAAGCAGGGGTGCCTCCTGCAGCTCACCCCAAGGAATCTCAGAGTCATCACTTCTGAGAAACTCCATGGCTCCCCACATGAGCCTCCTCCTCATGTTTGATGGGATGGGGACGGACCTTGGGTGGGTGCCCAACTTCAGAATGTGTGGTGACCACTCTGCAGAATCAAGTATGGCACTGAAGGCCAGGTGCGGTGGCTCACGCCTGTAATCCCAGCACTTTGGGAGGCGGAGGCAGGTGGATCATTTGAGGTCAGGAGTTTGAGGCCTGGTCAACGTGATGAAACCCCATCTCTACTAAAAATACAAAAATTAGCCAGGCATGGTGGCGTGCGCCTGTAATCCCAGCTACTCGGGATGCTGAGGCAGGAGATTTCGCTTGAACCCGGGAGGTGGAGGTTGCAGTGAGCTGAGATTGCACCACTGCACTCCAGCCTGGGCAACAGAGCAAGACTTCTGTCTCAAAAAAAAAAAGTGTGTGTGTGTGTGTGTGTATATATATATAAATTTATATATAAAAACATATATGGCACTGAAAAGGACTATGGGAACCAAGGAAAAATGAAAAGTTTGATTCGTCTGGATTCTCTTTTCCTTGGATTTCCTTTGTTGAGATGTGATTAGTAACAATGAAAACAAAAGTTCTCATGATTCTAAGCACTGTCTCTGGAGCCAGGCAGCCCAGGTTTGAGTCCTGACCCTGAAACCTCCCTGCTATGTGACTTTGATCAAGTCACATGACCTTCATGTGCCTAAGTTGCCCCCCATGTAAAAATGGGAGAAATGACCATACCTCCCTCAGAAGCTTGTCATGAGGGTAAAATCAGTGAATCTGTATAGACCCGTTAGAATCTTACCTGGTACACAGAAAACACTCAGCAAGTATTAGCCATTATTACTACAGGTTATCATTATCCAGTCCAACCTACTGATTGAACAGATGAGAAAAGTTTAGACTGAGAGAGGGAGAGTGATTTGTTCAAGGTCACACAGCAAGTTAGCAGAGTCAGAAGTGGAACCCAGATCAGCTGAAATCAGCTCCCTGAAGGAAGGCTTATGTCTCTCTAGGACCCTTTGACCCAGGGCTGCTGGAGACCCTGTGGTTAAGGCTGCGGGGGAGACTGAAATCACGCCCGCCATGGATTGGTCCGCTGTGGCGTTCCACTGCCTAAGAGCTTATGATTCCAGACAGAGGCCTGCCATGCATTCCTTTGTCTCCCTTATCTCGGATGGAGTGCCCGCTCTGTGCCTGTTCTGGACTTTGCCAGGTTGGAGGCAGGGCAGGGAGGCACATGCTGGGGCTGGGGTCTCCCTGCTGCAGTGACTTGCACGTTAGAAAGTTTTCTAGCAGCAAAGTAAGCCTGGGCCTGGAGGATCCCGGACACCCTATCCCGATTTCCTTCAGCCCAAGAAGGAGGACTTTTTTGTTTTTGTTTTTGTTTTTGAGATGGAGTCTCACTCCGTTGCCCAGGCTGGAGTGCAGTAGTGCAATCTTGGCTCACTGCAGCCTCCACCTCCCAGGTTCAAGTGATCCTCCTGCCTCAGCCTCCCAAGTAGCTGGGACTACAGGTGTGCACCACCACGTCCGTCTAATATTTGTATTTTTAATAGAGACAGGATTTCACCATATTGGCCATGCTGGCCTTGAATTTCTGACCTCAGGTGATCTGACCACCTTGGCCTCCCAAAGTGCTGGGATTACAGGCGTGAGCCACTGTGCCTGGCCTTTCCTTTTCATGTCTGAATTATATTCCGTTCTATGGCCATACCGCATGTCATTTGCCCATTCATCTGTGGATGGACCTATGAGATGTCACCACCTTTTGGCTGTTGTGAATTGTGCTGCTGTGAACATTGCGCTCAAGCTTTTGTGTGGACCTCTGTTTTCAGTTCTTTGAGGTGTATACCTAGGAGTGGAATTGCTGGGCCATAGGGAAACTATGTTAAACTTCTGACACTTCTGCAGGGCGCCCAGAGGCCTCAGGGACCTACAGGGCCTGGACCTGAGGGCTCTGAGCCGCTTCCCTGTGCATCAGTGCACACACGCTCGCAGCACCCTCCACCTGGGAAGCTTTGCTTTGCTTCCACAGCCTTCCAGATCCTGCTGGGCTTGTCAGGAATCAGCCCACACGTGAGCGATCTGAGACACAGTTAAATGGCATCTAGCGTGGGTCCGGCTCCCAAAGGGTTAGCTCAGGAGGCACATGGCAGCAGCCCTCCCGCCTGAGTGGAAAGACCGGGCAGATGCCAGGCGTGCCTTTCGTGGTTATTTTTATTTTGCATGGGAAACCATGGGAACACAGCACAGACAAAGCATGTCTTCCACCTGCTAGGAGAACAGACCTGGGACAAACAAGGTCCTTGGAAGAAGGTGGAGGCCGGGAAGTGAGGGCCGAGAATGTGCCGGGCAGAGGCAGGGGTAGACTGAGGACTTGGGGGTGCAGTCTCCGGTTCCTGTGTGGGGGGTGAGGGGGTGCTGAGAGGAGCCAGCTCTGCACGAAACAGTGTGGCCTTCCCAGCAGTTCAACTGGGGCATTGTGCTCAGAGGCACCTGGCAGGCTCCTCTACCCCCGGAAGTCTCCAGATTAAAAAGCACTTCACTCCCAGCTGTTTGTGGAAATCCAGCTTGTCAGCTGGAGGGCAGCGCACAGAAACTTGTTAGCACATGCAGAAATGAATGACAGGTATGCAAGCCATCATGCCGGGGGATGGGGTGTGAAGATTTGCTCATGGGTCTGGAAAAAAAATCTTTGGGCTCTAAAGGAACAGCTTAGTCACCAGGGGAAGAGGAAAACTGACCACATTGTCATTTTCTGAAGGGCACTGCAGAACAACACTGCTCAGTAAAAGAGAAGTCATTGTCATTCTTCTACTTGGCACATTCGAAAAAGTAAGAAGAGGCCAGGCACGGTGGCTCATTCCTATAATCCCAGCACTTTGGGAGGCCGAGGCGGGTGAATCACTAAGTCAGGAGGTCGAGACTAGCCTGGCCAACATAGTGAAACCACGTCTCTACTTAAAAAAAAAAAAAAAATTAGCCAGGCATGTTGGCTGGTGCCTGTAATCCCAGCTACTTGGGAGGCTGAGGCAAGGAGAATTGCTTGAACCTGGGAGGCAGAGGTTGCAGTGAGCCGAGATCGTGCCACTGCACTCCAGCTTGGGTGACAAGAGCGAAACTCTGTCTCAAAAAACAAAAAAAAGAAACAGATGAAGTAATTTTTCTTTTTTCTTTTTTTTTTTTTTTTGAGATGAAGTCTCGCTCTGTCACCCAGGCTAGAGTATAGTGGGGCGATCTCGGCTCACTGCAACCTCCGCCTCCCGGGTTCAAGTGATTCTCCTTCCTCAGCCTCCCCGAGTAGCCTAGACCACAGGCACGTGCCACCACGCTCAGCTAATTTATGTATTTTTAGTAGAGACGGGGTTTCACCGTGCTAGCCAGGATGGTGACCTCATGATCTGCCTGCCTCGGCCTCCCAAAATGCTGGGATTATAGGCATGGGCCATGGTGCCTGGCCAGATGAAAGTAATTTCTATAATATATTTTATTGAACCCTATAGATCCAAAGCAGTAAGTTTCCTTGTAACATGTAATCAATATAAAAATTACCATTGAGATTATCAATGAGATATTTTGCATTTTTTTCATATTAAGTCTTTGAAATCTGGTAGGATACATACATATGTATGTATGTGTGTATATGTGTATATATTCATATTCTATTGTGAAAAATACGTAACGTACATTTTACATAAAATTTACCATCT